ACGCAAGAGAAATTTCGGACCTACCTCGTTGGTTGCCTTTTATCAGACCTCCTAAACATCCATTTAATTGCGTCTACCGGCTGTTGGCATTATATCACTTGCCAACAAATGTCACTAGGTGAGCACTTATACCGGAGGGTAGACATGCTGTCGCACTCAAGAAAATCGACCGATGACTAAGCGTGTTGTGAATGTTGCGCGAACCTGAGTCAGGTGGGGTTTCCTGGGTGTACCCATCCAGGGATTCAGCGTCTATGAAATCAAATAGTGGGGCACCAGATGTACACTTGAAAGACAATCGTTAGTTTGCGGAGATTCTAAAGCAGTTAAACTGGTTGGGATTTCATGCATTTTGAACACCTAGGGGTTTTTGTAGGGATGCATCCCCACTGAGTTGATATAGCTGATGGGCATTGCGTGGCCGACCTAAAATTGTCATTGCCAGCCGGATTTCGGATGTGACAAATCAGATTCTGGTCGGTCACTCGGGATGTGTGAAGTCAGAAACGATTTGAGCGAAATTATGAAGTATGGGTACCTTCGTGGGACAGGTGGTTGGAAAGCATATTCTGAGTGACGAGAAAGCGTTTATGCGGTGCTTGAGGAAAAGTTGCTGTTTTGGCTTTGCCGTTACCTCAAATGAGCCTCTCACTAGAGCTCATGGTCACGATCAGCTAGCAAAGAGGAGCTGAAAAACTGGAGGAGAATTTGAAGAAAACAGTGAGAATATGCGCTGAAATTGTACCACATATACAATCGGGTAGTAAAACAAGCAGTTTCCATCTTCATCTAGGTAAGGTGGAGTACGGAAGTTGAATTCAAAATACTGGTTTTGTTTGACAGGTACAACTTCAGATTGCGAGCTGATACACTGAATGACAGAGGTTGTGCCGGGCGTCAGGAGAAAGCATTGGAGAAAAATCCCACATTCACCTAAGCTTCCGTGTTCTCTGATTACTGATACATTGTCAACGATACATCTCTTTCAGCCTCGGAAGTCAAGCAGAGGACACTATCCCGGTTTTAAATAGGTCGTAACCATGGTCCTACTTTGATGGTTATCGATGACAGGGGTTACTTCTATCTGTGTTCGGCTCCTTTTGGTATTTATATGGCACACATCATTGTACGCCAGTTATACGAGGTTTACAGGTGCATAGGATTGTCAGATTAATTTGAACGGACTCTCCGACGTTAGAGGCAGGGAAGGTGGGAATTACCGTATTTGGCCAGCTCACTGTGAGGGACCTTTTTAGTGTAGAACATAATGCGACTTGTGAATGCAAGTAGATGAAAGGTATCAGATTTATGAATTTTTATCACAGGTGGTGTGATTTTGTACCCAGAAAAAAGCTTAGTTTATGGTTCGCGATGTTTGTGTTCTTCTGGCAGTACCGCTTTTTTCGACAAACCCATTTCTCTACGTGAAAGTTTGCATGGAGTCACAGATATTCGGAATTGTTCTTGTGGTGGAGATAGACAAACCTCACCGATATAGACAGAAACGAGCGAATTCTTGAAAGTAGCGTCAGATTATCGTGAGATGAACCGGATCTGAAAATTATGGTTCGGTTTACTATGAAACCATCCACTGCATGTCGCGGTGGGTGAAAACAGTCTCGACGCTTCTCACAGTTGCTTATCCTTCAGTCTCTTGCATGTCGCCTAGCAACTTCCGCATACACATGCCACCGATTTTGAAGCGCAGTTCGCCCACTTTTTTCAATCATTACTGAAATATAAACTTATTGAAAGGGGTAAACATCGCGTAACAAATGGTTTGAAACTTTCTGTGTGGGGATCATTTGCAAGGATTTAGTATATTTCCCAATCCAATACTGCAGCAGATGTCGTATATCATACCGGCAACTTTCAAATGAAGATTTTCGAAGAGAACCCAAGTACTTGTCCACCGTTAATCTTAAAGAACATTCGTGGAGTCATATTTCTAAACTTTTGAAGTAGGAGGCTCATTCTCGCCGTTCTGTCAATTAGCATGATTAAGGAGTGGATTTCGGCCAGAGCATAAGTCAGAACAGACGTTTGTGGCTAAAGCGCAAAATTACTGTTTCATGCATCTCGACTTCTCCTATCTAGGCTTGGGCAGCCTGGCGGTATCTCAGACCCCGTGCTTCCTCTGGGTAGCATGGTAGTTAGACACCGGAAGTGTGTTACCGCTGAAAGACCTTAAAGTTTTCCGTCACACGGGCACGAAAACGCAGCAACTAGATGGTACTGCCAAACGCAGCTACAACGTGTTTATTCTTCACCTAAGCCGAGCATAATCAGCATCGGTGCATGCTATATTACCTGGAAATCGACGGCAAGTGCTGGTAACGACGATAACCAGCGCATGCCGGTAAATTCATTTAGGCTGGGAAACATCTCCTGACACGCAGAGCAAAGTTTCGTAGGACATTCTATGGCTTTAATATGGCCAGCCTAAATGTAGCCAGGCGTTGCCTGAAACTTCATCGGTTACTTGTGATTAACTAAAGAATCGGGCCATTTTATTTTCTACATGGGTACGACCAGGTCTGTCCACTCACGGAAGGAGACAACTGATTCTTAAACTGTTTGCGGTAGTGACAGCTACCGCTTAAGGATTAGCTAAAATCTTCGTTTCATCGGCCTTTGTGAATATTTTTGGAGGTGATTCATCAAGCAAGCATCCTCCACATGTGCCACGAGCTGCTCACCAATAAAGCTTACGAAGTGAGTAGAAGTAGATCTTCCGGTATCTACACTGTTTTCGCGTCGTATCTGGTGTTTTAGGGTAAGGATGTTGAGATGGTCGTGCAGTATATCAAATAACCAGTTAATGTGGTCGGTTGAACGCAAGCTGCATTCCTTGAATCGTGCCGGGAGACCGTCTTTTTATCTTCATCAAAGGAGAAACTGCATAGTAAACTTCCTTTGGCAAGTTGGATCAGCTTTGGATTCCAGAGTTGAGGAAATGCAAACTCGGTTGTTTGTGCTTCAGCAAATTGACGATCAGCAACTAATTCTGGCATAGGCAGTTGAAGTTCTGGCTTGAGCCGAACATGCAAGCGTTGTTTTTGACGACCGATGTAGCATAGCGGATTCGCAGGACCCATGTGGGACAAAACTCTTTACTTTCTGTACGAATGTTCATGCGAATTCTAAGCCTTCACTGTTTTGCATACTGCTGGGTCCACAAACAAAACAGATGATGCGATAAAAAGGCATTAGAGTTTTTGCGATATATTTTTTCTATCATCTTGATCCATGCAACTTACTGAATGTTGTTTTTCACCTAGCAGAGTTCGAAATCTTTGCTGTTGTAGCGCTTTATACCTTTCTTTCCCTTCCATTATAACATGCCGTATTTCCTCAATTGCACAAAAGTTGTTGTTTGAATACGCAAAAATTACAAAACGCGCGAAGGAAAATGTTTACTTTGTGTCCTTTGAATACAACTTCGTCTTCATCTCAAAAATCTAGTTCAACCCCTCCACCAATGTACATGTATTGTTGTCCACCCCGACGTATGCCACAAGCACATGCCTCAACTATTTCGAAGCACAAAATGTATCTCTTTCGTAATTTCATTTTTAGTGAAGCAGATCACAATCACGCGCGTGGTGGAGCTACATTGTTTGCGTTGCTTTCTAAACACTGCTCTTGAACCAAGAGGGTACTCAGATATACACAATCAGCAATACCTTTCAATGCCTACTTGGATTTACTGCTTGTTTGCTGAGCTTCAAGCTTACCATATGATCAATCAAACAGTAGGATAGTTTGCTGGGCAATACGCGATTAATATTTATAACTTTGGATTTAATGGGGCTCCTTTACCGGTAACATGGCAAAGTACGCATCTAATCCACCGCGAACCACGTTATTAAAACTAATCGGGTAGCGCATGTATTGTGTACTTGGTCTGTCCACTGGGGCTACATGATTCTCGCCAATATGAACGCACGCTTGTTGGGAGTACAGACCTGCAAAGTACCAATTCAGCGGTTATGGTATCTGTTTTTGGCTTCAAAATAAAAGATTGACCCGAGACCACATGCTTTCTTGTTTTGTTCTGCCTTGGATATCCGTCTAGGAAGGTTCCTGATTCATGACGGATGCTTGGGTACCATTCAGCAGCAATAAGCTGATGCAGATCGACCGATATGATTCGAACGTACTGTCTTCATTTTTGCTCCTACGGGATTTTGTACTTTTACGCGAGTGCTCTGTGTGGACCTCTCTGGAATAGAACCTCATCTGAACCGAAGCCCAGTTGAACGTTCTCCAGGACGAGGACCCATTTGTGAACCATGGGTAACAGTAGCGTCGGTGGCTTCTCTGATCCTGAAGTGGTCATCCCTAGAGATGAGTTTCCCCATGATTGAAGTGAAATCATATCCTACAATTGAATTTGATGTGTTACGATTGACATTGTGAACAACAAATCTAGGTCCTTAGGAAACGAACATCACCGAATGATTATTCGGCCTTAACGCAGCACCAAGGCTTTTCACGAAACCAGACGTAAAACATCACATGAGGCCAAAAGGTGGGGTAGACTTCGAGGACCGTTTTGTACCCAGGATTGAAACAAAACTTTGATCCGGGATAGGAAGTTTAGCAATCGTTACAAGTCCTGGGGTAAGATGTGGACCATATTGCAAGATTTTTACTAGTTGACGGAGTTCACTCGGATCCCTTGGAGATGGTGTCTTCATTTTTGTAACAACCAGAAAGAATTTGGTCTGAATCCTGTGATGGCCACAAAATAGCCTTGACAAGAGACTTGTTTTACACCAAAGAAACGGTTGAATGATTTAATAAAACGTTATAGCAATGAAGTAGCTCGTATAGGTACACCACTGCGCTCGCATTTTAGTTTCAAGAATACCCACATTCTTATCGTCGTAGTGTGTTTCTGATACCACTCAGAATACGATAGAAATGGTAATGCAAAATGGTAATGAAGAATAGCAACAAAACCTGGTATAATTGTTGATCGTGCTTGGACTTACTGTAAGCCTTGTCCAACGCAATCTGCAAATATACAATGGAGAATTAAATGCACAGTTCCGAAACCAAGATCAAGCTTCGTCGAGTGCTTACTGGCTGCTTACTGTGTTGGCTGGATAGTTGGTTACTATCCTAGATTGGGTATCCAATGGAAAATTATTGTCCCTAAATATCTCACAATTACGAAGTTTTCGTGATACAAAGAGGTTGAAGAACGGGACATTAATTTTTTGTCCTTTTCGTTGCCGTTTACAAAGCACAGTGTTTCGAAAATGACCAAACTTTAAGTAAATGTGTTCCTACATAGGACGAAGACCACCTTATTCTCACATAGAAACTGCCAAATTATTCCCAGTTCCAACAAGCGCAAGGAAATCAGCATTCGTAAGCTTTTCCTTATTATCCCCCCTGGTCATACATCATATTTCAAAGCAATCAGTAGGACCCACGGTATTGCACGTTGGTGAACGCATATCCATGTGCCTCACTGCTGAGACTGAATTTCAGTGAATCGCGACGCCAGTTCAAAGTCTGTAATCCGCATGGAAATGCGGGTTGAACGCTGATGCACAGTCTGAATCCTGACGTTCGACTTTGTAGGTGACTCTGTAAACAGCAGGTAAACACAATGGTACGCATGGAACTAAAATCTGCACATTATTGGATTACTTATGAGAATAATTCATATTAATAATTTAAACTTTTATAATTTGTAAATGGGGCTGCCATTTTTCCCAACCTCTTAATGCGTCTGCCGCATTTTCAATGCCTCATGATTTATTATTCCCAGACAATTGCCTGAATTTGGTGATTTACTGTGGCAGTCGTTCACTTTGTCCACAAAACCAACTTTCATAACACTGACTGTGCAACTGGGCGACCGAATCTGTGTACTCTTGTGCACGTATGAGACATGACTGACTGACCAACACAGTTCAGTCGATGAACAAAGTTCAGTGGGTTGCTCAGCGTACAATGTTCTTACACGCTACTAGACGAATAGACACTAACGGATGACAAGCTCATCGGAGGCCTGCTCATATGATATCATCTAGGACAAGATGCGAATTCGGACCACGATATTTAGTGTACATGTGCTGGACACACAAAAATCAATATAAGAAAATTCAAAAAGAACTATAAAGCAGTGGTTACGCAGATTTATTTTCCGAGTTAACACGAGGGCTACTCAAGGCAAAGTGACCTTGAACTCAGGACCCATCAACTTGGCTAAGTGCTGTGCTTGAATAAGATCCCCAGGTAATTGGGGACAGTTTGCGGGATACGCCTGTCGTGTTTGAAAATGCTGGCATTCATATCTTCCTTTGCAGCATATTGCTTTCGTTCCATTTTATCCCAGAGGAAAAGAGGTTTGAGGGGATATTGAAAAAGCAATCGAATAAAGTACGTGCTATTTGCAAGTTAATGCATTTCACTAATTTCGTACAGTTTGGTTTCAAGTAGAACATAAGGTTAACGAAAACTCGGGGACTGCGTCTAACTGATAAGTTCCAAGAAGGGCGAAACAGGTTGTGGGCTGTCGAAGAATTTTCAGCAACCTTATGAGTAGTGCATGTTTAGCCGTTTCCGGTGTGTCCAAGGCTCAAATTTGATTGTAAAGGTTATCTGGCATAAAGAGAGAGTAGCGGGCTTTCAGAAAACAGAAACTTGGTCTGTTGAGTGGATGTGCTTTTCCCTCCATATTCACGCTGATGAGTGTTAGGCACAGTGTCCTTTAGAACTTCAAAGTAATTACAAACAACTCAGTTACTTAGTCTTAGTTTCCAACTCAGCACATTCAGTCAGTAATACAAACGCGGGTTGTATCAGTGGCTAGTGTTCAAACAGTCTTCAGATGTCTTCCAAATCAGGCGACTTTGAAAAGCATGGTTTTCTTTGAAGTTTCGGAGTACTGCACAGAGTACAACACAATCGGAAACAGATATCGACTGGAAGCTTATTTACCAGTTCTGACAAATACGCTTTGAATCTTGGATGACTTCAGTGGATTTTAGATACCTTCCAAATAACCCTGAGGTGCACGACGGTAGGTTATGATAAAATCATCCCGAAATCAGACCAGTCGGAAGGGTTGGTTGGTAGGAATCGAAATGTCTCGGAAATCACAGCGGCTCGAGTGAGAAAGCATACTAAGATTGTCTCATGTTTTTCTATTCTGTGTTCTCGGACATCTTGTTTGGCACTGGCCAGGAGCAAGTCTCGTCAAGTTCCTACAACAAAGCAGCTGATGATGAATATGCTTGGCTGTTTGATTTTTATTCCTCTATAAGAATACTATCCATTTTGCTTCCAGTGATTTGGTGATAAAATATATTATGAATTTTTGATCACAACACGGCGTCTTGATCAGTCGTGCAAAAGAACTACAAAAAGTATGGCTTTGAGTTCAAAATATGACTCATCGGAAAACTCAAATTGTGGGCAACCAAGAGACTGCATCCACAAGAAGAACGTGGGTTCGTTTAGTCCTAAGGGTGCATGTTCCTCGACGGAGAAACTAATATGGAATCTCCCTATAAGTAAATCTAAAGTGAATCTAAGTTTTGTTGCTGTTTGTGTTTTATAGACGCATTTAATACCGACCATAGCAACACTGTCATTTTGCCCATTTCAGGAGAGAGCTCAGTGAAGAATTTGTTGTGCTGTTCTCCCTGGCTAGTTCCGGGAGACCTGAGAGAGCACTGGTTAAAGGGGACAGTGGGTCTCAAAATGGTTTCGGTAGTTAGAAATACTGAACCCTCATTTTATCTGTTTTATTTCACGGTTTCACAGCAACAACTCACACTTCTCCATTTCTTAACGTGTTAGGACCACGAATGTGCTTTCGCTGAATTCTACCTATCGTTGTGTATTGCCGGTAGTTAGAAATACTGAACCCTCATTTTATCTGTTTTATTTCACGGTTTCACAGCAACAACTCACACTTCTCCATTTCTTAACGTGTTAGGACCACGAATGTGCTTTCGCTGAATTCTACCTATCGTTTGTGTATTGCTTGTAACGTTTTGCCCAGCAGGAACATGTCTTGTTAGAAGGGTTATATGATACCCAATTCTCCTCCGCCAGAAACGTCTATTCATAAAGTGAGGATAGAACATGTGGAACGAACTCCTGCACTTGTTGCGTTTTTCGCCCATCAATACCTCTGGCAACCAGACAATAATGGACTGAAACCCGAAATGCAACAGCGTTTATCAAAAGAACAAAATTGGTGGATAAATCAAAGGTCGAAAGACAACCTGACTAGAAGACCACTGCTTTAGATGCCTCCACTTCATTTCAGACCAAGCCCGAACGGGTGACATAGCATCTGTGCGGTTACCCTTCCACCAAATCATAGTGCACTGGACTGCGCTTTCAGTGTTGTGGGGTTGGGGGCAGAGAGAAGACAATGAATTGGCGCAGACCATGTTACCGTTTGAGTGGTTCGGCTCGAAAAAAATGTTGCGTTGCATACTTGTGTAGCGTCTGCAGTTCAAAAGTGATTGTCGGGGACAGACGTTAATAAAAAAAAATCCTTATACTTGTAAATTGCCATTTTACCCGTAACGACTCTTGGAAATAGGTCTATAGTAGTGTAAAGTATGTTTGAATTGTCAAAACACGAGTGTAACCAAAGACAACTCAGTTTAGGTAGACAGCCGGAGTTACAAACGAAGACAGCAAGGTTACTGAGGGCGGTTTTTCAGCGGGTTAAAGACGGGATGAACCGAACTATTCGCCACTAAGTTATTACTTGTTGTCATCAAGTGTGAGGTTTTCGCTTTTCAGTCTCCCCACCCCTTAGTTGATGATGTCTCTTCGACGCGGTACATTCAAAACCCAGGTAACCTACTTAACTCAGTTTTGGGTTATTTTAAAAAACACATTTCAACAATAAAATAATTAAGTACAACACTCCTCCTCTACGTGGGCAGTCCCTATTCAAGGATTACTCATGATGAAGGCAATGCTCATAAACTTTCATCAGCTCTTAAGTGGAAATGGATGACTGGCCGTTTTCAGCCGGTTATTGCTTGACATGGTCCAAGTATTTTTATGCCAAGTCACTTCTTCAAAATTCAAGACAATTGTCGTTGAGCAAAACTGGCTTTCGTACTTACACAAAATTCCGTGAGCGACACCGAAGCACACATTGGGTACTTTGTCCCTTAGCCTAACGCATCTTAGTAGAAGCCATCCTGGGTCACCACATTTTCAGAAGCAAGAGTTCATATGTCCTGTTTAACCAATCCCTGATAAGCACAAATACCATTGCGCAACTTGCGACGCAGACACACACACACACCGATCAACCAACAAACGTGCTACCTAAATTCTTGTTGCAAACTTGTTGTTCAGCATAAGTTGTGCTTTCTGCTATACACATTTTCACTTCACTTCACACTTTCAACTACTATCTTGTGTGACTCCGGCTTACATTCCAGAATTTCTAAGGTTCACATTCTCAGGTGAGCTTCCCGCATTGTCTAAGGTCTGTTCATGGCTCTTGTTATGTGTACGGTCCCACGGACGACAAAGTCTTATTCAACACACAGCTCATGCTGGTAGTTAAAGTCATTACAAAGTTTCCCGAAACAAAGCTGGTTTTTTCTACACTTTTGCCTGAAGATTATCCAACTTTGTTTAAATCGATTCAGGGTGAAAAATGCTTAATAATCCCAACTAACTTAATCGCTTTTCAAAATAGTATGTTGTCTGTGGCGCATCCCATTCCAATTTTAAGTTCACTTAGTATCACAGAAACCATCTTTGTCAAAAGACCAGTAGTATAATAACGGATCTTACCAAAACCTAGATTACGGTAAAGCTGACGTTCATCGAAAGATTGTGTCCGGTTGCAAACGGAGGCAATCTTTAAGGAGTCGACAGCCATTAGGTGGAACGATCACCATGACCATGGGCCAAGAAATGGATCTCATCCACAGAATTAGAACTGAACTGCTCAAACTAAGGCTCAGCCCAGGGTGAAGCTTACACAAGTAGTAACCAATCACGGAATGAACGTCCTTGCTTGTCAATCAACATCACCGGTACGTGGGATAAAGAGATTACAATGTTCAAAAGGGTAGGCTTTGAACACCTAAATCAGCTACGATCGTGTTACGTATGGCAGTTTTAAGATGTAGACTTTTGATATCGATTGTTTTGAAAAAAAGACATCCCGAGGTGTGTAGAAATGGCTTTTGCGAGTGCAGTATAGTTAATTCTTCTTGAATGAAAGAGGTAAAAACATTATGTGCTCGCTGGAAGAAAAGTAGAACTAATAAACTAGTGCTGGTTCAATAACTTGGAAGAATGGGCTTGCAAAAAATGTTGCTCTGTGGCGGGAAAATAACCTGAGATTGTTGTGATCAGTGTAAAAGAATGTACCATGTGGAGATGGTAAGAATGCGATCAGGGGAAATAGTTTTTTTCTCAACCTCAGTGGAACAGAATGCACAATTGTTGAGCAAATTTAGACCTGGTGTGGATGTTACGGTAACTAAAAGACCAGTTGCCAGAGCATATCGGTGACGAACGGTGAGGTTACTGTCATAAGGAGACAGTTTAAAATAATGGTGTATATTTGGATAAGATTCTCGGTTGCACCTTATGTTGACTAGCTTAAACATTCACTTGGCAACGGGTGCACTGTCAAGGAGTTTTGTCCCATTGGTAAGCGGAATACTCGATTATGGTCCAGAACTCCGCCAACATTTTTTTCCTGAGCCCTCACGTTCTCCCTCATGCATTGGTTCCAAGTAGAAATTTTAGGCTAGCAATAATTCCATATACCACAGCTCTTTGATCTTTTAAGTCACGCGTTTCTCATTGCCTTACGTGACAGAGTTGAACTTCACCTGCTTTTTTAGACCATTTATCGTCGACACTTACAGCTGAGTCCCTTAAAGCACACCGAAAATTCAACCTTTGTTGCATAGAGTTTGACTTGGACATACCTTGCTAACCATGAACAACTTCTTACTTGTTTACGAGCAATCAGATGGCTACTGGTTATACTAAGGACCACGGTAGTAGACTATTCCATCAGTGTCATAACTCGGCCGTCGGACGCGCTGCACGTGAGGGGCAGAAGCCTGACACTGTTGACCAAAAGGTTCGATCCTTCTACGTCTACCTGATAATTTGATCACGCCAGAGTATACCTTATAAACCTGGAGTCCAGTTACGGAAGCTTCTTGCTTAAATCTACGTCAGCTCATGAGAAGCGATTACCATTGTTCCAAAATTAGGTTGGGCGATTTGAAGTTCACAAGGAGACCATACTGGTTACAGAGGGAAGAGGGGGAGTCTATTGACTGGAAGGTCCGTGGTTTGAACCCGACCTCTGCCTCTCGACTTCCCCTGTCTAGGCTTGCGCAACCTGGCAGTATCCCAGCCCTCGTGCCTTCTTCTGGTGACAGCTAGGTACCGGAAGCTTGATTCAGCCGAACACCAGGAGACACACGGTTATCTTCACGGTTGTCGAATGATCGTTTATTAACGACGAATGACAATTATATTAGATTTGCTCCCAGCTTTAGGGATACAGTGCTTCATACCTCTGGTTAAGTTTAAAAACCTGTAGGTAGTTGCGGGATTTGTCGCATGCACACTCATATCACTCTGGTTTGGACAGTCTTTTTCCTGTCCTCGCGCGGTTATTTCGGTAATTCAATACCAAGGGGAGGACCACTGGACTCGAGTTTTGTTCTTATCAGAGCTCACCAGCAGTGCATGTCCCCGACCGTGCCGAGGTTCGAACTCCGGATATCTGACATACGGAGTGAGCGTGTCCAGCTTATGCTGGATACCCTGCTTTGGCAGGCACAGCATCAACACAAGATAGCTACGCCATCCTGCAAAAAGTGACAGCTATAAAGTGACTAAAAAATTTAACGTGTGTACAAGTTTTGGGTCAAGAATTTCCGTTCACATACAATAACTCCTGTTTTAAAGATGCTTGGTAGTGTACTTAACCGTATATTAAACCCAGGCAAACGATTTACGCTATCCGAGTAAGGACTGTTTATTGATCCAAAGAAAGAATGCTGAGAACTACTGAAAAGTTGTTGAAAACTGAAATGAGTGTGGTTCTCGAAAACAGTCCAATTTGGATTCAGGTTGACGGAAACTCGGAAACTGCGCGGACCTGATGAGCGCCAAGAAGAGCGAAACCGGTCGTGGGCTGTCGAAGATTTTTCAGCAACCTTGTGAGTAGTTTCCTTTATGAAAATATACTGCGCTATCTCGAATAGCTTGCCAACTTAAAAATGAGGCGGCCTGTGTGCAGCACATTCCGTTGTACAATGTCATAAACGAGAGATTCAGTTGAGTCTCTTGTGAAAAGCAAAATGATTTGTAAAAGAATGCTGGGATTGAAATGCTTCTATGAACAAGGATTTTTCCGCAGGATCTGCTTCAGTTATGTGACCAGATAACCCCGGACACGTTTCTTAGGGTACATCTTATTTCCAACAAAAAACAGGCTTGCTTCTTTAAATGCTGTTCGTAATGTTTGGACTTCAGAATTCGATTACTTTCGATCATTTTTACAAACGTTAGCTTAAAGCATGTTTTTCGCAGTGTTTTAGGCCCAGAAATCTCTATTGAAACGTGAGCGGACAAAATGCCAGTTGCTAACGCGTTCATGATCACAGCATCTGGAAAGCATCTGCTTCATTGGTCGCAGATGTGAGTTTTTTTCCCGGCTGACTTCCTTTGCCTCGGGGAAACTGATATGTTTGGTCAGAAAGAGACAAAAAGTTCGCTGAACTCACTTTGTGCACATGGACAGTGAGTAAATGTGTGTGTGGCTGATGCCGCCATGTTCGTACACTCGTGTCACATTTTGGATCCAGCATACAGCAATAAAAAATAAAAACTACCAGGATACTGGTCACAAGAAGGGCTTCCATAATTTGCTTTTCTGTTTTGCTCAGCTATAATCGATGATACCAGACGATCAACTATGGATGGTCATCGTAGGATTCATCGTGGCATTCGCACTAGCTTTCGCGATCGGAGCGAACGACGTGGCCAACACTTTCGGGTCAAGTGTCGGTTCAAAGGTACTGTCCATAAGGCAGGCGTGTACAATAGCAACCATATGCGAGATGGCAGGAGCGCTGCTACTAGGATCTACCGTTTCGGGTACCATTCGAAAAGGCATAGTGGATACCTCAATGTTTGACAAGCTCGACAAGGGTCCGTCAACACTGATGGTTGGACAAGTGGCCACACTTTGCGGTAAGCCATAAAACATTGCGATACTTTTCGTGCCTGTATGTTAGATTTCCGTTTTGTCTTACTGAATACCAACACTGTTGGCAAACTATTCGAGAGGCCACAGTTTTTTCCTTGATCGTATGTGTAAACTGCACTGCTTATTTTCCATAAGAAAAACAGTTCTGTTGTTATCTGTTCTAAATCACTATTGGTAACGGATGATTGATAGTTCTTTATGAAACGATCAAAATGGGTTCTTATAGGCGATATTCCAAACTGAACAGACATTTTGAAAGTACGCAAGTTCTGTATTTGATATCGATGCTTTCTTTTTCCCAACGCTTTAACCTCTGGCTAAGAAACAGCGTTCCGTTCAGTGATAATATGTACACCACCTAAACTTCTTAGTGAAATTCGCAAGTTGTTTTAAAAAATGCTACTGTTTTCCAGTCCGTTTTGAATACCACTTCAAGCCGCGGATGGCATTTAACCAGCCAGTAGGCATCCAGGGGATCCAACATAAAGGACCTCTGTACGTATGGGTAGAATATCCGTCCTAAGGCACTTGGGACTAAAGTATTAGAAGGATGTTGTGTAAAAACATCCACTGAACCCTTCTTTTTGCATTGGGGGTTGCGGATACATATGGCATAGTGAGAGTATCTATCATAATGCCTTGATACAAACATATCATTTGACAAGATCTTCATCGTACAACGTTAATCAACGACAAACGCGCAAAATAACTTGTATTGCGCGGCCGTATAGTTACCAGAATTCAAAAAATAGCGATTTATGTTTTGGAAACCGGCGAAAACGGTCGTTGGAAGCAACCTTATGAGTAGTGCATTACAAATATATACATGTATTTTGGATGCTTTACAGACTTCGAAAAAAGCGTAGTTTATTTCAACGCTGTTTTCAGTGGAACATGAAATCCATGCGCATTAGCCACGAAAACTGCATAAAACCCGCTCAAAAACTATTTTGTACACGCAGGGACTTTCAAACAGTAATTGTTTGTCGAGCATGACACCGTGACATGGACCCCGGTTGAACTTGTGGTAAAGTGTTGTGCGTACTCTCAAGTTAAAGTTGATACAAACTGATGGGAAAATGGGTATTGAGCTTTACTAGTCTCTTGGTGCGTATCTGCTACGACACCCGGAGGAAGCGCGAGGGCTGTGATCTACTACAAGGTTGTCCAAGTCTAAACAGGAGCAGTCTGGGTTTGGGTTAGGCTCGAACCCCGGATATTCCATTCAGTACGTTTGCGCTTTAGCCACTGAGTTATTAAAATACCTCTATGCACCCGACCCGATATTTCTAATCCACCTTGCTAAGCCAACAAATGCATGCACAATGTTGGAACTTCGCACATATGAATGTCCAACAAATTAGTTTACTTGTCTTTCAAGGTAGTGTGCCATTTGACCGTACTAGAAAACGTGAACTGTTCCACTAAAAACCATGTAAAGTAGCGAAGTCCTGTTGTTATAGCTGTCTACAGGATTTGATCGTCCAATCAGTCGGACTGTGCCGCTGAAACCTGAAGTTAGTTGACACTACCGAAAGAATACATTTTACCGAAACAATAATAGGATGCGTATTACGTGGTATATCGGAAGGGTGAGAACATAAATTGTAGGTTTTCGCCCGGTAAAGACCGTGGATGTCCCTCAGTGAATACTTTTCGAAACCCCTTTTCAAATGCACCAGTGGACTACTGAAAAATGTGTACGAGTTTTTGTGAATCATCCTGGTAGATAGTCGGTGACGCCGGTAAACAAACGTACATGCACTCTTGATCAGATGGACGCCTTGTTGGGCAAATCAAATGTGTCGGGTTGAAGGTGATCAGGTCAAGTGTAGATCAGTGGATACCTTAAAAGTTTTGCGATTTTTACTGGGTGAGCCGGATCTGCTGTTCCGGAATCTTTTGGAACAATACTCGCACCAGGGAACACTGCGCATCTAACAATAAAATGAAAAAGACTCGATTGTTTGACAGCATTCATTGCTTCTCACACAATGCAGTCAGCGGTTAGCTTGTAGTCCCAAGAGAGTTCTACCATACGGAAATGACGATGTTGTCCTCAGAACACTGCACAGCTGCTGCCAACTATTCCAGGTTAACTGGTTTAAAAAGTCGTTAGTGAACGTCTCCATGAATCCGAAAGCCGCAAACGTTAGGCTGCTAAACTGTTCAGTCGCTGTGAAATTACAGAGTGTAAAAGCTCGTGATAGCTCAGTGTTTAAGGCGCGAACCAGAACGTCTGTGGTTCGACCCTAACCCACGGCATCTCGACTGCTCTTGTCCTTGGCTGGGCAGGCTGACAATGTCTGAGCCTTCGTGCTTCTTTTTGGCGGTATGACAACTAAACACAGATGGTTAGACAGCCAACGGACTCTCGGGCTAAGTGCTTCAGTTTTGGCAACCTCTACCGTGCTATTCGATGTGTGCGAATGGCACTTCAATCAAGGAGTGAGAGCTCAAGCGAGAAAGAGTTGATGCATTCTTGAATGAAATGATTGATCTGTATTCCTGGTAGGATAGCACTATTGGTTGACCAAATTGTAGGTACCAATGGTACGCAAATTGTTGTAAAACCCGGTTTCTCTTATCCGCATTTCCCATACTTAGAAGTTTAATTCTCAGCCAAACAAACTAGGAGGATCCAGGTAGTTTCACACAGTAGAAACAAATACGAAACAATGCGTTGTCTCAACAGTAATCACTGTGACCGCGTCCACGTCAGACCGTCAATTTGATCCATTTGATTCATAAATCCAATTGGAAGGAAAGCTTGGCCAATGGGCAACATTCTCGTAATTCAAAGCCAGTGTTTGGTGGAACTGTGACCTAACCGGACCGAACAGCTTCCATATACGGACACCTTACTGGTCGAATTAGTGAATATTGAACCGACGGGGGTATCACTTCAATCAAATAGCTAACCGCCAAAATGATGAACAGTAAATATCCTTTGAAAACAATGACGTTTGCTCGTGATGGTTTGGAGAACATTGGTACCTAGGGTACTTTGTTCATGCAATAAACGAAGTTTAATCAGAATGGAACGGCAACAAACATGTACTGTGGAGGTAGTATCTTGCCTGTCATTTTGTTCACCGCCCCAGCCTAACGGTTTCGTATGTTCTCTCTAGAAGATGTATCATTAGAACCCGTTTTTTAAGAGGCGTGCTTCCCCAAACACTGACGAATCACACACTGCCACACTTAATGTTTTGCGGCTATTACACGACACAGCATTTCCAAAAAACACCCATTGTTCCACCGTTGCCAGCTGATAAGTCGGTGGATACGTAGAGGGCCAGGTTGAACAAATGGCCACATTGATAACTCAGTTTGCCCCCTTTGAACACTCTTCTCCGTAGTTTACGCAAATAGTGATTTCAATGGAGGAAACACAGAAGGGCGTGCAAAAAGTAAAAACACGATAATTTCATCTAAACAGAATCCTACCCTCGTGTTAACAGAACTATGGTTGTTACTTTAAATCTAAGTCCACCCCATTTGTGTGTCCTGTTGATTTTGTCCCATTGCCTCTCTGAGAGTCTTCAGAGGGAGCTGCCCAGTAGGGTTGGATTTCTAACCTCGAGAGGTAAATGAGTAACCATGAATTCACCAAATTAATGGATGCTCATTTTGTGAACCATCTTCATTTGCACTATATGGCTAGAAGAGAGGTTTGTGTAGAGGAGATGTATACAGGACAGGTATAAATATTTAAAGGAGAGGTATATAAACAATGCTGTGGGACAAATACACGTACTGTGACAACTGTTAATATGTGAGATGACTGGAAAATTTACGATCAAGTATCCGTCCTGTAAGTCTTACTCGAAAGATCGAGAACCACTGTACGGCCGTTTCGTATTCTCCACTATGCACCTACTGAACCTCAAAAAAGAATCAAACTCGCACTCTCCAAGCTAGTAGTTGGGAGTTAACCGTTTAGATTCTTGCGGTTGACCATCACTGTGATTAGCAGTGTGATTAGTCATGGAACTCAA